AATTAAAAGTGTTAATGAAGAAAATAAAATAAAAATTGTTAAATTAGATTCAAATGTCGAAGGGGGGACCTATGGTCTAGAGGAGGTGCAACATATTGTGTGAGGCTTGGTAGGCAGGTGGGAGAGGTCGACAAGAAGTTGGAAGGATGTGGTGGGTTTGATGCAGTGCAACAAACTTGAAGGCAACGGTCCTGCTGCTGGAAGCAGGAAATTAAGGATGGACCAGCGGCTGGGTCAGTGGGCATGAGGGGTAGGTGGATGGTGCCTTGGAGCAAGGAGACAGGAAACATGGAGCGATTCGAAGAGATAAACACCACATTGGAGCAGGATACAACCAGGGCACCACCTGTACTTGAATACAACCCTAGCAAGGGAAGATGCTTATAAGCAGGAAGCTAAAACCAAACTAGAATAAACTCTAGAATTAGCAAACACACTTATTTATAATAGAGATATAGGCAATAAACTACATAAGAAAAGTGAGAATTATGAGCTATGGAAGGGGAAGAGGGGCCGATCCAGCCTTTTGCTGGACGGGGACTTCTTCCCCTGCTGAACCCATTGGCCGGTTCATACAAGCTTAGTCAGCCTTCCAGAATTTGGGGAGCTTTGAATTTATCCGTCGAAACTTTTAAATCTCATAATAGGGCGTCAACTCTGTGTCATTGAACGTGGCTGAAATATTGTAGTTTCATGACATGTAGATCTTATATGTATTATCATTCAACTTCAGAAGTATTCTGAAAGATCCACTGTTCAGAGCTTGAGTTTTTTTGAATGTGTCTACTGGAAATCTTTCTTTCTTCTACCGGATCCATACTGGATCTCCTTTTAAAGTCACCTTATTTCTTGTCTTGTTCATCAGTGCTAGGTACTTGCTATTCTGCTTAGTGATATCTTTCTTGACTTCCTCGTGGAATTTCTCAATCTTGTGTACCTGTTCATCAACATCCTCACTACTCTTTGACGTCGGCTCGAGAGGTATCAATGCAGTGGAGTGAGCGGGCTGTGCCTGGACAACCTCAAATGAGGTGCGACCTCGTGGTTTGGCTTACAAATCAGTTGTACACAAACTCATCCTCAGCGAAAATCAAATCCCACTGCTTGATATCTTCCCAACAAAGCATTGCAACTAATTTCAAAGGTTTCTGTTTACTATCTATTTGTGACCGACCGTCTGAGGGTGCGATGTGGAACTGAATTGAAGCTTAATGCCTAATTTTCCTCATAGCCCTCCAGAAGCCTTTGTCATTGCACTGGTATAAACCATCTAGTGTCTTGAAAGTGTTCTTCCACTCGTCTTTTGGCTTCATTTGGATCTAGTGGTACCAATAGCATAAGTTGATCTTGGAAAAGATGGTGGCTCCGTGTAACTGGTCCAATAGCTCATCTAGGTGAGGTGTGGGAAACCGGTACTTGATGATAATCTTGTTGATGGCTCCAGTGTCAATGCACATCTACCACAAACCGTTCTTTTTGAGAACTATTATGGTGTGGATAACACACAAACACATACTTTTGTTGGCCAACCCTCTCGTGACGAGATCCTGTATCTGTCGCTGCAACTACTCGTGCTCTACAAGTTTCAATCAGTAGGCGGGCCAATTTGGCAACTCTGATTCTGGTATGAGATCAATGATGTGTTGAATGTTCCTCAATGTAGTAATCCCTCTAGAAGACTATTGGTCGTCACATCCTAGAAGTTCTGTAATAGTGATTGTAGTGACGTTGATATCTCACTCTCCTCCTTAATTCCCTCTCATAGGACTAATTCCAATGCCACTGTATCATCGTGAACTGACTGCATGAAGGTGGCCCTTGGGACTAACACTTCCTTAGTATCGCCGCAATCTCTTGCATCCTTAACAGGTAACAACATGATATGTTTCTTATCCTTTTTGAAAGAGTACGTATTCGTGAAGTCATCATATTGATTCATGCAGTTGAATTGCTAAAGCTTCCCTAACAGAATATGACGTCCATCCATCATAACCACATAGCTTCACATTTGCTCTTGCAACTGATCCCCAATTAAAAATTAGACCAAGAACTGCTGATCCACGCGTATCTTTCTTCCCTTCTTCAACCAGGCAAGGGAGTAAGATCGAGGATGCCTCTGTGTGGCCAATCCCTATTTCTTCACCATCATCGTGGACATTACATTTTCACAACTTCTATCGTTGATGATCAAACTGCAAACTTTGCCCTTTATCGTATACTTGGTGTGAAAGATACTATGTATCAGCCATCATTGATCTCGTCTGACTCTAAATGCAGAACTTTCTGTATGATTAACAATTCTCCCTCATCATCTTTGAATTAAAGTTCTTACTGTGGACAATACTTGGACTCCTTGTCCTCCACTTCATTGACGACGCTGTAATTTGTGAATGTGACAACTCGGCTCGTGGGACAGTTGAAGCCTATGTGTCCGTAGCCATGACACCTAAAATATCTCTTGGCAGGTATTGTAATGGAGGAGTTTCCCTTTTTCAGCTTCTTTCTACTCTGATCTGTTTTGTCACCCCCTTTCATGTCTTGCTAACTCCTCTTAGGATACCTTTGTCTGTTGCGGTAGCTGTATGGGATTGTCTGACTGACGACTGCTGCCTGAATGAAGATTGTTGCCTGCTTTATTTTTATTCTTTTCGCCTTCAAGGTTAAAGTTTGAACATCCCTCGACGACCAATATGACTGGAACTACACAACATTTCTAATAGCAGGCTTCAACCCCCAAGATACCGGGCTATAGTGTATTCCTCTAGCTTGAGCAGCTCACAATTCATCGGTGATTGGTCGAATTGTGTTATAAACTCCCATACTGAAGGGTCTCTTTGTTGAATGTGGTGAAGTTTCAGAAACATGTCCCGACGATAATGAGGTGGAAGGTATTTTTTCTGCATTGCTTTTGTTTTTTCTCAATTCGTAATCTTATCACTATATTCTCTTTTCTCTTCTCTGTAAATTATCCACCACATAGAGACATTTTTTTTCAACTTGATAGCTGTTATTTTAACTCTCTCATATTCTGGAACCTCCTTATATTCGAAGATTCGTTCCAAAACTTGTAACCAGTCTTTAAAATTATCTGGATCCATAACTTCATCAAACTAAGATAGCTATGGTAGATCCACCTTGATGTCGAAGATCCTGTGTCCTCCATATGCGGGCTCTCCTCTTGGTCTCCTTTGATATTGAATTCCGAAGCGGCGTGATCATTCCTCGTCGCTGATGTCTTCCCTATGGAATTGATTCAAATCCTCATCCTTATCTCTCATTCGACTCTCTAGATCATGGTTTAGAGTAATCTTCCCCTGGGTTCCATCATCAATCTCTGCGACTCTCTGTTGAAGCCGACAATTCTCCATCTACATCTTATCTCGGGTAGGTTCTGGCATGTTTCTCCATGATAGCATGACTAAGGTTTGAGTTTCGAAGGGGCGGTTGAGGATGGGAAAGAAAAAAAAAATTGGTGAGGGGGATACGGCGAATGCTAGGAAGCTCTATGAGAGAGCTATGATTAAGCTTGTTCTGATGCAAAATGATACTATAGTTAATCGAAAGATCGATATGAAAGCAAATTTTATTACTCAGTAATGAGTTACATTCATGTGACAAACAAGAACAAAAAAATGGAACACAATAACGATCAATTCCTTGCTTGGGCTCGTCAGGGGTGAGAGTGGCTTGGAATAAGGTAGGAGTTGGTGAGGGTGGCTTGGGAAGAGGAGTGCGGTGGCGGTGTGGCAGGAAAGGGAGTGTAGGTGATCCGAGAAGGCTTAGAAGAGGGGAGGGGCACCTACGACCTAGAGGGGCAACAATTTTTGTAAGACTCAGTAGGGCGGTGAGAGAGGTCGGCAACAAGCTGAAATTATGCGGTGGGGTTTGCGATGATACAACGGGTGCACAACAAACCGGAAGGCAGTGGGTCAACAGGAAACTGAGGAAGGAAGGGCCGACGACTGGGCTGGTGGGTAGGAGGGGGAGGTGGTCGACGACTTCAAGTAGGGAGACAAGAAACATGGAGGGAGTCAAAGAGATAAACACCACCTCAAAAAAGGATAAGCCGGAGCACCACCCGTCATTGGATACAACCTTAGCAAGGGAAGATGACAATAGGCAAAGAGCTGAAACCAAACTATAGAATATACCCTAGATACAACAAACACACATATTTATAATAGAGATATAGGCGGGAAATATAAAAAGGAAGGGGGGGCAATGTGGGTTGTAATTTCCACCCGATGGAAGGGAAAAAAATTGCGTGCAATAGACGTACGCAGCGCTGCGTGCGTTATTAGGGTTATACCGAGGGTACAAGGGGGTTACATCCACGGTATAACCCCTTGTAACCTCTCTGTAACTTGTTGTAACCTATCTGTACCCTAAAATAAGTTTCACGCTTCTGTTATCATATATTAAGAGGTTACACGTAAGTTACAGGGAGGTTACAGGGAGGTTACAAGGGCTTATACCGTGGATGTAACCCCCTTGTACCCTCGGTATACCCCAATATCGCACGCAACGCTGCGTACGTCTATCGTACGCAGATTTTTTCCCGATGGAAGAGGGAGAGGGGTTAGTCCAACCTCCTGCTAGATCGAGACCTCTTCCCCAACTGAACCTATTGGTCGGTTCAGCCAAGCTAGACCCCTAAGCTCCCATGTCACTACTATTACATGTTAAACTCACAAACCTCATTTTTTCATGCTTGAATCCATATCCAATAAATTCATAAACAAGTATTTTAATAACATTTTACCATTTGAATTTTGGTTGGGCAAAAGTATGAATGATTCTCATTGCATAGGAGTTGGAAAAATGTCTCATCCTTTCTCATTTTATGTTGTTTATGACTCTCATTTCTGCACATCTCCTGGTTGTCACCTTCATGAGAAATGATATGCTGGACATGACTCTTTAAATGGATACTCTTTTATAATGGTTTTAATTTAATAACAATTTCTATCAATTTGTTATTCTTAGAGACATTCTTTCTTATTATAAATGATTTAAGTGAATTTGGAAGGCTTTTTAAAGCGTTAAAAAGCGTCGAGCGCATGGTGCTTAAAACACGCCAGCCAAACCGACTGACCAAAAATCCTCCAAATCGGATCGGGGGAAAAGTCGCGAAGGCGGGATCGTGAACCGAATCGCGATCTCTAGAGTAGGCGGGACTGCCGCCCCTTCCTTTGGTGTTCTTCTCCATTTAGGAAGTTTTAATGGCTACTTTTATGTATCATTGCCTTCCCACCCATTCCTTTTGTGTCGGAGCTTCCTTTTTTATTTATCATATAAATTTCTCTAATGAAGTCCTATAAATTGATGTTTTCTGTTTTCTGTGGAGTCCTTTCCCTCTTGCTAGGGCTGTATCGACGACAGGTGGTGCTCTAGCTGTATCCTGCTCCGATGTGGTGTTGTATCTTTACATTCTCGTCCTATCTTCTCCCCGACCCTTCTTTTACCTCTTCCCTAGCCGCTGGTCACCCCTATCTCCCTCCACCGCTCTGCCACCACCTCTACTACCACCATAACTTGCTGTCCAGCCATCCAGTCCTCTCATTCTAGCACCCACCCTCCGTCTCCCTACAACCACCTTGGTTGCCAATCCCTTCAAATCATCTACTCACATCTTGCCACACCTTCTTGCAACGACCATTGCTGTCCAGCTCATGTACAACCCACCAAACACTGTTCTAACCTATCAAACAACCATCTGACCTTTCCCACCTTTCCCTTTCACCTCGCTCCACTACCGCCTTCGGATTTCTTCCTACAACCCTAACCACAGATTAGTCTATTATTGTACTTCTTTTGTTCATTTGAGTCGTGTTGTAACCCTAATTCAGTACTAATAAAAGTTTGTTTGTGCGTTGTCGTTATCTCTTATCCAGTTCCGACATCACTCTTGTTCCCATAAAAATAGCTTTTTTTTCAATGGACCATTTTTCTTAGTTATGTACAAGCAATTTTTCTCTTTCACATTTGGGTTCAAGTTTCGACATATCGTGTCATGTGCAGGAGGTTGATGCTTATCTATTTTACAATTATATGTTTCCTCTTGCATTTGAATGCAATTTCCTTCCATCTTTGGGGTTTCTAATGCTAACTTTTTCTCTTGAATCTTTATTTCCCTCGAAATATCCCTGCAGACATCTGATATATTTTTTTTACTCTCAACTCATTGGAACACTTTAGCAAGTATAGAATAACAATTGTATTTCAAATTCATCCAAGGATTATCAGTCAATCTAGTTCAAGATGTTATCTTAAGCTTATTTTTGGATGGATCCTAGTCACTGATAGAAGGGTCTCAATATTTTTAAAAGGCGAACATCTTTAAATATTTCAACACATTGTTAGCTTCTTTTATAAATTCATTTTAATCCTATAATTCCTCTGTTGTATTCTTTTATTTTCTTATTAATTCTATAACTCTATAAATGTTTTATATTTTCTTTTCTTTTATTAATGAGAAGGGTTTGCCCATATTTTCAAATTATATATCAACGTAAATATAGTACAAATATTCATATCTCATTAGTTTTAATATTTTTTATTCATTATAATGTTGATTTGCTTTGAAATTATTTCCTTCTCATTGATATTTGTTGGTATTTCTAAAGATTATTTGATGACTCCAACAAAATGTATCTGCATAGGTAGAAAGACTCCATCAATACATTGAGTCTATGAAGGCTGTTTATCTCGCTGACCAGCGGCGTCGTGGTGATGGCAATGATCCATTTCTCGAAGCTGACAGACGAGAAACTGCTAAACAGGAAGCTGCTGCTAGAAGAGTTCATCCAACATTACACTTGCCTGCAGTTTCTGCACAGCCAACAACTCACGGTACTGGTTTGTACGCTAGTGCAGTGATTCCTGCATCAAGTGCTCCTCAGCAAACTGCAGGAAGTTCGGGTCCTCCTGGTGGCGGAATTTCACTATTTGGTACTTCATCCTCGACTCCAGCGGCTACAACATCTTCATTTCTCTTCTCGAACCCCACTATGTCTACTCCAGCTTCTAGCCTTTTTGGTTCAACTGGGGTTTCACAGCAATCAACAGGTTTTGGGACTCCAACGACATCTCTTTTTGGGTCGAGTCAGACTCCCTCTCTCTTCGGAGCTAGTACACCATCTTTGACATCTAGTTCAGTAATTGGAAGCTCCTCGCTCTTTGGAGCTAGTACGCCATCTTTGGCATCTAGTCCAGCAATTGGAAGTTCCTCGCTATTTTCAACACCTTCGCTTACACTTGGTATGGCTGAAATTTGCTTACTGCTATAGAAATGGATTATACAGTTTAGGATACATAAATAGAGCTTTAAAATGCGCTGGTTGGGTTGACTTTTCTGGGCTATAAGTGAAACCTACAGGCGAAGAATTTACTTGCTTGTTTCATAGATGGTTATGCCTTTCACAATTTCTGCGACTGTAAGTGATAGCATAGACCTGAATTGCTGCCCTGAATTTTTTTATCTCAAGTTTGCAAGTCTTCATTGTCTTCGCTCCCTTCTAACATTCTAATAGTAATGAAATTGTGCAATCGAGGCGAGAGAGTTTGGGGGATTTGAAGCTGAGAGGGAGAGGAGGTTGGTTAACCTTGTTTAGAGAGAGGGGCTCCGGTGAGGTTTAAAGTTGGGAAGAGTAGCCTATATCGTTAAGGAAAGCTGAGCTTAAGAATTTTAACTCAAATCATTATGTTCTCTTAAAAGAAGCGTAAAAACTTATTTATTGAATAGCGGTTGCATTTGGAATACACAATAAACATGACTAGCCGCAATAATTTCCATGATATCAAAAGTGGAAGATATTATCGTCATGGTTTAAAATTTTCGGATGATAGAACTGACTAGTAGACGCATCAATACATAATTTTTTTTTGAACACTCAGCTGCACATTTAAGGGACCTCACAGACCTAATTTATCTTGCTTTTGCTGGGATCTTTTAATGAAATTTGGGTTGACAAGGTAATTTAGCTGAAGTTTTCCATGTCATCAATTGATGTAAAGTTGGTCTAAATGCCAATTTTTAGATGAAAATTTTTAAATGATCTATCCAGAAATTATTTTCTTAAAGAAAAAGGGGTTCAAAAACTCTGTTTTATTATGAGAGTGAGGGAAAGGAGGATTTTGAGAGACGGCAAATTTTATGGTGGAGAGATGGCTTGGGAATTGGGGATTTTTGATGGAGAAAGAAATAATTTGAATGGATGTGATAGGACATCTATGGAGATTTGAGATGATATTTTAATTTTTTATTTACTATTGCTTGTCAAAATAACATCTATCTTTTATTTATAGAAATTGTGTCTACAAATTTAAATTAAAATAATTCAAACTTATTTGTAGATATAAAAAATATATAATTTCATTGTTTTCTTGAAAATTAAAATACACTTAAAAGTGAAATAATAATCCATAAATAGCCCGAACTATTAGAGTAACCAGAAATAATAACTCTTTATGTTGTGTCAACTCCTTTAGGACCGAAGAACTATTAGAGTAATCCAGAAATAATGACTCCTTATGTTGCATCAACTTCTCTAGGGCCGACGAACTATTCTTATGAAATGGTGTCCATAAGCCTTTTCTAGGAAGTTGATCTATATGGAAGATGATGTTGTTGACTTGGTTCATGATCTCTTTAATATTTAACGTGTGCAATATAAACACACAGTAGAATATAATGCATCCTCATATGATTAGTGCTATAAAATTGATCCAATAGTAATTTCTTGGTGGTAATAATGGTAACATGAAGTTAACTTGCATTTCTTTAGAGCAAGTTGCCAATATTTTTATAGCCCGCCATTGGATAACCTCCATATAGCAGTGCACTTTGTTTTCATTTGGTTATTGGTTTCAATTCTAATTTATATAGCTTTTGATCTTTGATACAGTTTTCTTATCAACGAAGTCAAATTACTTATAAATCAAATAACAATAGATTTTTGGCTAAGTTTGGTGGCTCAAAGGCCTCTCTATTTTCTACGTTGTGATTACTAACATTTGCCTCATCATTGTCGCTTTGATGCCGTCCTCATCGCTATCAAGTAACTCGAGCTTTCTTGCTTTATTCTCAAGAGCTTAACGTCTTTTCCAAAATTGATTCTCCCATCACAGCCTCTTGATTTGGCTTTGAAATCACCTTCAAACTTGGAATAAGCTCTTCCTAGATTTTCTTATCAGTGGTTCCATTTTCACAATTAAGTTGTGAAGCGGCTGTCTCAACAAGACATTTAACCATTCTCACATCATAAGACCCTCCATTTGGTCGACATTGTCCAACTAATTTAAAGTAGGGGAATTTCTTGATTAAATCCAATAATTGAACGATGATTGACGATCTCAAATGCAGACGATGGATCATCAATAGCGGGAGTGGGTTCAAGGGTTATTGTTTTCAATCATTGCTCTTTTATTGCAACTTTGGTTCTTGCGGTGATGAATGGAGCTAATCGATTTTTATTTTTTTTGGGATAAGTTTAATTAATACTGTCATTGTCGGTCCCAAGTCCGGATGTGAAAAGTAGATAGTTGTGTTAGGTAGTCGACAGCTAGCGTAAAACTTGTTGAAAAAAATCATGACATGAATCCTTTTGATCTTTGTGTAAGTGCTAGGCCGTCTCTTGGAAGCGATGCGCTGTATAGCCTGAATATAGTGGAAGTATAGACATCCGGGTGTAGTGTCAAATAAGTAAGGGTTTCCACATTACAGACAGATGCGGGTAAAGAAGTTAGTCCATAAAACTCGTGAAATTAATATTATGATATGATCTTAGAATATATGTACTCTCAATGATAAATTAATAAAATTAGTTTATTTTATGATTCATAGAAAGATTAATATCTTATGTATTCAAAAAATTAAATGGGTTGGCAAAAAGGCTAAGAGATTGATAACTTAGGTTTTAAACTTTGGTATTCTGGTAAGAGTCGCACTAGAAATGATGTAAGTGTAATTATAGATAAGAGTTTGAAAGATATGTTGTAAAAATTCATAGAGTTGGAGATAGAATTATAGCCCTTAAGATTATCACTGATACTGAGATTTTTAATATTATAAGTAAGACTGTCAAAAAGCTCGTTGTTCGCAAACAGTTCGTGTTTGGTTCGTCAATGACTTCGTGTTGATTCGTTCGATAAGTAGACGAGACAAACGTGAACAATTTTTTACGTTTGTTCGTGTTCGAATCGTTATTGTTTGAAATATAAAATAATTTAAAATAATTATATAAAAAATTACGATATCTTAAAAAATTAAATTTTATAAATATATTATATAATAAATTAATAATAATAATATATTAATATACGTTTGTCTCGTTCGTTAAGAAACAAGCATGAACAGTGACTTCACGAACAATTTCAAACACGAGCTTATTTCAAACAAACTAAATTTCAAATGAACCGAACACGAGCACAAGCTGCACAAGCTCAGTTCGTTCGTGTTCGGTTCGTTTACACCCCTAATTATAAGTGCTTATGCTCCTCAAGTTGGTTTTATGCTCCTCAAGTTGGTTTAGAGTTGGTTTAGATATAGGGTCTAAAAATAATTTTTGGAATGACTTAGAAGACCTAATACAAATAATACCTCTTGAAGAAAGAATTATTATTGGAAGAGATTTAATTGGACGTGTCGGTAGAGTGGTAGAAGATTTTGGAAACATTCATAGTGGCTACGGTTTTGGAGTGACTAATAAAGAAGGTAAAACTATTTTAGATTTTGTTTTAGCGTATGATTTTTTTAATACTGATTATTTATTCAAGAAAATATATGAACATTTTATTACTTATAAGAATAGATCTAATAAAAGACAAATTGATTATTTTCTTATGAAAAGAAGAGATCGTCGATATTGTAAAGATTATATCGTTTATTAGTTCTAGATTTTAAAATAAAGAGTTATAAAATAAAGAATACTAGGACTTATCATCGTAGAATTAGATAGAAGAAATTAAAAGACAAATAAATTTATTTTTACGAGTAAAATTCAAGATTTCAAAATTTGGGATGTTCATGAAAAAGCAAATGCTGTGGGATAAATTAACAAACACTATTAAACAAGTTGCAAAAGATGTACTTGGAGAATCAAAGAAAAAGTTTCTTTAAATAAAAATAGTTGGTGGTAGAATAATAATGTGCAATAAAAAATAATATATAAAAAGTTATGTTATAAAAATTAGTTTAAATGTAAAAGTTTAGAAAACTGAGAAAAATATCAAACTACCCGCATGAAGTCTAAAAGAACAATATGTGACGTTAAAAATTTTATTTTTAATGATCTTTATAATTAATTAGATACTAAGGAGAGTGAAAAATATATGTATTAACTAGTCAATCAAAGAGAAAAGAAAAGTAAAGATTTAACTCAAGGAAAGTGTATTAAATATGAAAATAAAAAAGTGCTTTTCTGAGTAAAAGATATTCAACATAGGTGGGTGAGTTATTTAGATAAATTTTTTAATGAAGTTTTTGAAAATACGATTGACCTTAGTGATCTTAATATTATTAATAATAATAAATTAATAATAATAATTATTAATAATAATAAAACGTTTCATTTTTACCGTCACATTAGTAAAAACAAGTTGAGGAGGCTTTAAAGACAACCAAGGGTGGACAGTCTGTAGGACCTGATGATATTCCAATTGAAATATTGAAATGTTTAGGAGATTTGGGAGTTTCTTGGCTTAATAAACTGTTTAATATTATTTTAAAAACTAAAAAGATGTCTGAGGAGTGGAGGAAGAATATTTTGATACCCATTTTTAAGAATAAAATGGATGCACAAAAGTGTGCAAATTATAGAGGAATTAGATACCCATTTTTAAGAATAAAATGGATGCACGAAAGTGTGCAAATTATAGAGGAATTAGGTTGATGTGTCATACTTTAAAATTATGGGAGAGGGTAATTGAATGTAGGTTAAGACGTATTACAAAAATTTCTCATATTCAATATGGATTTATGCCAGGCAGGTCTACTATAGAAGCTATACATTTATTGAAAAGTTCAGAGATAATAAGAAGAATCTATTTTTGATTTTTATTGTTTTAGAAAAATCTTGCGATAAAGTTCCAAGAGATATCCCTTTGAGAGTTCTTGAGAAGAAAGGTGTTAATATGACTTATATTCAAGTCCTTAAAGATATGTATACTAGAGCTGTTACTTGCGTTCGAGCTGAAGGAGGATTGACCAAATATTTTCCTATTTCTATTGGATTACATCAGGGATCGACTTTAAGACTATA